TTGTCCACTTTCTGACCTGACCAGCGTTAAAAACTGACCTAAAAATTATTTTAGACTTACTGTATGGGCGACACAAAAAATCTAGATGAGCCTCTACTAACCAAATATAGTAATTTCTTTTATACACTTGGGTTTTATCTCGTCCGATTCAGCTATACAATACCATCCGTTCGGATATACAGGAGGTAATTCACCAACTCGTCGTAATTTGGCGAGCCTCGTGATTTGCCGCTCGCGATAAACACCTTTCATCTAAAAAGAAAAGTATCTGAGACTGCTTGGGTGGGCGTTAGGGTAAAAGAAACCTCCGGTTTACCCAGGAACAGCCCAACATCGCCAAGTTTTCTTATTCGATTATATGGCCGTAGTAAAACATATATAGCATATGAAATGATTAGAAATGCAGCTGTCGCCACTCCGATGCCCAATGTTATCATCTGAGAAAACCATCATTTTATTTTTGCAAATAAATGGCGGAATGCACCAAAATATTTTTGGTAATCGACTAAAAAGCGGAAACTCTTTTGATCAGAGAAAAATTAGAATAACGGTGCTTGACTTCCGTAGCATGGTGAGCGGAGAAGGCATAGCATCCCCCCCCCTACCATCTTCCAAGAAGGGTTGCAAATTTTGAAATGCTCAACTTAAATTACGAATGTGCAAACTTCTCGGAAAATTTGAACTAGCCTTCAAAAATTTCTTTGAAGATGTGGCATAATGGCGAACTGGGGAGTAGAGAGAAAGACAGGCACGAAAGAGTCGGAATTTTTTGAAAATTGCCCACATGAGTGATGAGATCGTGCAAGCGACTTTCTGCCAGTGAATGTAACGACTTTCAAAATTTTTAAAAATTGGAATTAGCTTTGCAAAAAATCGTTTTCGTACGAAAATACAAGATAATAAACGCAGTAAAAAGCTGAGAAGCATCCTCAAAGTTTTTTTTTTCGAAAAGCGGGGCTAACGCCACACTCTTTAACTTGAAACCTCTATCGTTCCCCCTCCCCCTCGAACAAATAACAAAAAAAAAGAGAATTCTCGTGAAGAAAATTTTGGGCACGCCGCTGTACCTCCCCCCCCTCCCTTCCCT